AGCAGGCTCGCTCCTTGCCTCGGGAGCTTAAGGCACTGTTGAAGCAAATGGTGTCCGGAGGTAGCTCCCGCTCCTGCCACAATCCACGATCACGGATCTGTTGGACTGTATGATTTCCATGCGACAGTACACAGGCTGGGCCTGAGCCACCGAATTCTGGGCGGCTTCAAGAGCATCGAAAGCACGAGGAGATGACATCTCTTGGATGAGTTGGCTCTTTGAGAAGAAGCCAGACCGCGAGCTGCAGCGGGATGTCTTGGCCCCTGAAGGAAAGCCTGGCATCCCCTCGTCACCTTCATGAGAGCCAGGAGCCTCACTCCGTGCTGCCAGAGGCTGCAATTACCTCGCTGGTTTTCACAGGCAAAAGCGCAGAGAGCTTACAGTGTCACTAATCCGGTTGCTGATCGCGAAGCATTTCTCGTCTCTGTTGATGTCTCTTTTCAATGACAAGCTAGTGCATGCTACCGTGATACTGCATGGTATTTGACTGCTCTGAAGAGCTGTGCTGAGGCTTGCGCTGCAAGCCTTGATAGCGCTGCTGAAAGTCACGGCCTTAGATCCGATGGTGTGAGGTTGCTGCGTGTGCTCATGCGGGCGTGTGGGTGTGTGGGCGAGTGGGCTTGCTCGTCTACGGCGTGTAAAGGTATGAGTAAACAGAGCGTACACACAAGGACTGTGCGAGCTGAACGCCCATCATGCATGCAAGAAGCGCCTGCAAGGACCTGCGCCGGGGAGATATTGCATAGCAGGCATAGCTTGCTTTTGACTGACATCCAAGTGAGGCTCCACACACACACACAGACACACACTCACTCTCACTACTACTAAAAACGAACAAGAATTCTAGAATGCTAGGGCAACTCTCCGCCCAAATGCCGAACAGCGATGCTTGGGAATCTGGCATGAGGAGACACAGCAAGCACGAGAAGTTGCGATTCTGGTGTCAATACATACGTCAATACCAGGATGCCCTGTACATGTTCTACGATGGACGACGATGCATCAGGCACCACCAAAAAATCTCCGAATCACTCGGCAGACGAAACCCTGCCTCCGCCTGCTCCATTTCACACAGTAGGGCCAGCGCCGTCGGCCACTGGCTCGCCTTGCAGAGGCTTCGGTTCCCCACTCTTGTCAGCATACCGATTCGGCTTCTTGGGTCGTTGTGGAAAGCTGTCATCCTATTGACAGAACACTTCGGCAAAATGCAAGGGCTTGAGGGTATGGAGCCCTAAGCGTCCTCGAAGCTTGAGCCCTAGCTCTAAAGCTTCCAAATTGAGGAAGGGTGCCATATGTATGAACCATGAAAGGCGGATTCCAATGACTAGGCTTGGCTTGCATGAGCATGTAGTTGGAATGGATTTGCGCAAGGCCACCATCATCATGCCATCCTCCATGTCAACAGCGTTTTGCCGTCAGCCTTCTCGCAAGCCTCCATCGTGCTGTTGAAGCTCACTTCGTCTGGCTGCAGTTGGTACACCTTAGATCTAAAGCAATTTGCATGAACTCCCGCGCAAACTTCTCAGAAAACAATTTCCCAAGTCCCAAAGGCTTGGATGCTTATCGGTGCTCACCTGCCTTTGGTATTGGCCTGTACGGCTCTGTGCCACCATCAGCATTTCAAACAGATGCCGCTTTGCATCCCCACGCCGCTCATCTCAATTCTGGAGCAAGCTACTGGAAACTGCAGAAGCAGGTCAATTGCCAGCTGCCACTGGCTGCCTTAGCATCTGGAATGAACACTGTCTCGTCTGTGTAACTCTGCCATGAGAAGTTTTTCCTCAGACTCAGTGTTTGACTTTAAGGCCAGTGCCCATTGCTACCTATGCACGTGCAGATCCAGCAGCATTATATTGATTCTTTTGGGCAGGCAACATTGCATGCATGATCCAGCAACTCGAGATATCTAAGTATCCGAAAAATCGTGCAGGCACTGGAAAAGCCCTGTCAAGTCTTGAGCTGCAGAACCGGATGCTCTTGGCCAAAGATGCCAGGACCGCGCCCAAGCTGATCCTTATCCAATTGGGTCGCACAGGAGGGAGGTTGAAAGTAGCGTACGCTACGGTGAACAATCTGAACCAAAACGGAGGAAAACGCACAATTTACCAGCCCAGCTCTCTCGAATGTGCATCTTTGGGGTCACGATTTCGTGCGATTATGCTCCCCTTGCTGTCCAGTGACTGGTCGATAAGCGACTTCCGTCTGGTCGGGAAAGACAGTAACATTCAGTGACTTGGAAGAGGGACCGCTACACATCACACCGTCAAAAACATGCAATGACAAATGTTTGCTATGACCTCCATGCGACTCAGTCCTCAAGTCAGCCGGTTAAGAACTGATTGTGCAGGGCATGCCATGGCCTTGAAAGGTGGCTCCTTGGAAGGCGGTGTAGTGGCGGATTCTACTTTGCGTTGTTTCGACACCCCCTTGGCCTTCTCAGTAGCTCCATGGCGACGGGCCATCCTCGTGGGCCGCCTTGGAGCTAGAGTTTTAGGATAACGGCTCGCTCTTTGGATTTCGGAGTCGCGCTTCCGAGTGGGTTCATCTGCTATTTGCAGAGTCAGACACATCGATCTCATAGGCAAACATCTTGAGATGTTGATGGATCGGATCACACACAGATCTGCTCAGATATTGAACAAGCTCCAACATGGTCCAATGATCTCTTTCCAAGGCCAGCTGCACAGCCGCAAACAGTTCGTCAGTGCAGGGGCATCAGGATGGATTGCCTGGGCCTTTGCGAGGCGAGTGAGGGTAGGGAGAGTTGTTCCTTTGGGAAATCTAGCATGCCCGTACTACAACAGCAGAAGCACCCTCCATGCCGAGTTTTGGATCTGTCAAGAGTCATGATGCATGCCGGAAACCTTGGAGCCCACTGTGCAATGCGCCCACACATTTCTTGTAAATTCCTTCCCTTCAAACCCTCTCGTGGTCGAAAGAAAGAGTTAAGTTTGTGCCCCAGCATTTGCGCAACTCCGGCCTCCATGCACGAGAGCAAGGCGAGCTGCTCCTCAATCACCGCAAACACAGACAGAAAAGTGGCAGCTGGAACCGTTGAGTGAAACTCCCGCGCCAAAAAGGCGCAGAAGTAGCAGTAGCAAGCATGAGTCCGAATAGCAAATATGTCGCCATGAGGGGGTTATGAGATGCAAGACTCAAACCACAGAGGTGCGCCCGCGCAAGCCATTGCGACTGCATCCGGTCGGAGCTCGCCGAGCCTTCATGGGTTGCTGGTTTGCTGGGTTGTGGCACACACAGCAGCCGGCTAGAATGACAGGGTGGAGCTGCAATGCAAGATCAGATTCAATCGTCGGCGACGGCAGTACTTGGATGCCCGAGCCGGGGTCGGCGTGCTCTGACTGTTGAGGTCTATTGTCGCGCCCCACTATCGAGCCAGGCTTAGCTATTCCAAATGTCAGGCGAACTGCGCCATCGTGCGAAGGATGTCCAGGGTCCACGACCAAACCGAACTTCGCTGGAAGCTTCTCATGGAACACGTGAGTGTGAACTCATCTGCAGACCTGAAGTGCCGGGTGTCATGCAATGCAAATATGCGTCGCGAGTGGAGATGTTGCTTTTTAGAGGCGGGCAGCTGACAGCATGTAGCAACACCAACAGGTCCACGCATGATGCCCTATACCGCGACAGGCTGCTTGCAGTGCACAGCTCTCGCAACAACAGGGTTGCCTGTTCCAATATTTGCGCCTTTCTGAACGCCTACACAGGCCCGGTTTGGGAAACCAATGCTCGCAAGAAGAATCGGCGATGAATAAACTTCCGAATAGCACTTGCTCGTGCTGGCAGACATGTTTAGTCACATGGTGTCCTACAGAATGCAATGCTCATGCGCCTGTGCTGTTTAGGAAACGTCCGGTGCTACTGTGCTACCCAAGCGACGCCGAGTGCAGTGCTGAATGCATATGATATGGAAACGGCCTACTGGCGCGCCGCTTAAAACAATGAGAGGATCGCTCCAGACTGCAAGAAACCAAACGAAACCTTAACTAAAGAGAAAACCTGCGAGAGACCCACACAAGATGCCAAATGCAAACCGGTCGGCAGGGATCTCTGGGACATGCCACGCACAGCAGCCTCAGCTGGTCTTGGGCGGTGGTATGCAATCAATCACAACATGCCTGTTGCTGCTGCGCCTGGCGGCGAGCGCTCCTTGATGTGTTGTCAAGCTTTCGCACGTTGGCTGCCGACACATTCGGCTGGTCATGTGAAGACGACTCAATTTCTGACAGTCCAAGCCAGAGAGAAGGCAAGTCAAAGCCTCTCACCGTGCTTCTGACATTCCAACAAAGCAGGAGTCCATTCCATTTCCCATTACGACTATTTATATGTAAAGTAAAGGGACTGTACTTCGCTTGGCTATATCAGGGCAAGGACGCAGCAATTTAGAAGCTCATCTTGGGTAGCTAATGAGCAATGAGCAGTCGACACTACAGTGGTAAGGAAGGTGCGGGAGATATTTGCAGCAAGGCCAGCCTGGCACGCCTCACCTTCAACGAACAGACTCGGAGATTCAAGGACCACTACTCAGCCAACTTGCTGAACGTAACTTCCACTACCGATGGCATGCTCAGCCAACAAGTGCGAGGGCACTAAGAGATGTCAACCCGGTCCCAGCTGTGAACAAATACCCCACTGCAACAAGCCTGTCCGCCGCAAAGTGACGTTTACTGCAGCCCACTGGGACGACTCGCCGACGACACCAATGGTGGAAGAAAGGCAGATCACGTCTTGCCTAGCCCGGCTGCCTGACCGCCTGAAACCTCTGATTGCATATGCCTCTTGTCACATCGGCCTTCTAGGACATGATGTCTGACCTTCTTTATGTGCTGATGTTGCATGTGCTCAGCTGCATCGTCTGTATGACTGCGCAGCACCCTGGAAGGGGGAAGGCTTCATAAGTACTAGCACCGTAACCAAACAGGCTCGAGGCAGTGTGTTGTGGAGTGTATGACTCGATGCTTGTGTGGGGTCCAGCTCACTGACTAAACGATGATATTCAAAACCACCTGATTCGGATTCTGCCTCACGCGCGCCGTGGACAGCGACTCCAAGCAGCAAATGCCGCGACCTGGTCTGTGTCTGCTCCAATCACGGAAGACTTCCAGGGAACTCAAGCACGCCTCCGCCTTTCAAAGCTTTGATGGCAAGCTGCGCCATTGAAGCGAAGACCGGAGAGTGTCTGAGATCAGGGTGGCAGAAACCACGTCTGGCGGCCTTGCTCTGTCGGCAAGGCAAGACTGGGATTTGCTGGAAGGAATCTGCCTATGATTCTCCTTCTGTGTTTTCGCGTGCAACTCTGACTGCGAGCAAGAGTGATTGACTTGAACTCCGCTCTGCCGTGAATGACTTTGGCAGTCCTCGTCGCTAGAAGCGCACACCCAAACCAGGTTCTCGTACCAGTATAGTGAATGAAACGTGCGATTTAAGCACCTCCTGATGAAAGAAGAAGCATAATATATATATATATATAAGATGCCAACCAACCGACGACAAGTGATATTCGGCAGCTGAGGGGCAATGCCTGCTGTGCCAGGTGGGGGAGATGATCTAAAGCTGCGATCCAACGGCTGCCTTGCGTGCGGGCCAAGGTCGCATGAAGACGCGAAGCGTTGCGACCAGGGACGAGGCAAAATGGTCGGGCCTCTTGGAACCCTCGGGAACTGAACCCAACGCAAGGATCATGAATCATCCTTTGCTGAAGTATCCACATCAACCGACCTCATAATAGAACTTGCCAAGGCATCTGCCAAGATCTATAGGTTGAATACTCGCATGCGAGAGTCCCCGCAGGCAGCCGGCCAGGGATGAATTGTAGCTGATGAGGTCACGCTGCAGATTGCCGTCCTGGGCGCAAAATCTCAAGGTGACGCACCAGCGTGAAGGTCAGACCGCTTGATTGAGAATATGTGTCTGCCGCGCCGAGGCTCATGAACTGAGGCACGACACTTCAAGTGTTCAGGTCTGATTGCTTCGACATTAACCTGTTGGGCTAAAGGTATGGGACCTCTAATGCGCCCGCCAAACCTTGGCAGGTTCCTGAGACTTTGCAAGCCAGTACCGGCCGGAAGAGTAGAACGAATTGGCCCATGAGCTTGTGCTTCCAGCCCAACAGATTCAAGTTCATGATGCATCTTCCCGATGTTCCCTGGTCTGCAGACAGCAGCACAAACGCCCCATGCAAAGTGGAAATTACATTGAAGCATGCCTGTTGCCAGCTTGATTGAGCAGGCTTTAGGTCATTCGATCAGGCCGGTCGCGTTCACCAGTTCAGCCCTGAGTCCCTGGAAAGCTCAAACCTAGACCATTGTCCCTGCCAGGGGGCAGCCATCTCCTTGAGGAGCAGCTGGCCAACTTGCCATTCGCCGCGGTTGGCAGCCGCAAGTGCTGTGTTGTAGCCTGCAGCTGCACACTTGACACCCACGCTGCACCACTGCAGCACTCGCACTCGGGCAACGGTGGTCCGAAAACGAAACGAAACAAAAAGGTGACTGAACAGGCAGCCCACCAAAACTCGAAGATCCAGCCTAAAACCACGTCCAAGAACCCCCTGTACTCCCAGGCCGGTCGTACATGTTGCAGGACCGAGAATTCGTCTGCTCAGCGTAGTCTACCTTCGGCTGAAAGCCCTCTGGCAAACTCGCACCTCCTACGTATGTGCTGCGCACTTAACATATTCGGGTAGTTTTCGCACACCCCCGGCCCAAATCGATCGCCCTCAACCAAGGTTTTACTTCCCGGCGGCTGATGGCATCCGGGCGAACTGGTGTTGCCACCAGCAATGCTAGTCCTGCTTGCCAGCTGCGCCCGCGCCTTTGGTCCGGGTTCCAAGCTTAGGACTCGCGTGCAAACTTTGCTTACAGGATTTTCACGAAAGATGTGTCGTTACTTCTGTGCCACTGCGATCAACAGCAGACTGCGAAGACACCAATTCCAGCTTGCCACAGCATCGGCTTGCTCTGAGCCGTCTTACTAGAGTGCAGCCCTCAACTTCCCACCAGACAGGGCGAGCTTCCCGCAAGCGCTGATGGCTTTGTTCAGTCCGATGACGTCCAATCCTATGAAGGTCCAGTTTCACTGTAGCTCAAGAGTCACTATCGGATGGCACCAGCTACCACAGGCTGAATCAAGAACCCTAGTCTCCATAGTCTAAATACACAAGACTCAGAATTCGGGCTACGGTCGGCATTGATGCCTGCTGGAAGCCACGGTCCAAACTTGTGGTCATCATGGACAACTTGGGCTTTGAAGCTCGGACGACTCAACACATCTGATCTAATCATTAAGCATGACTCCGGGCACGATGACCTTTTTTAGCACTCACACTCGACATAGCAGGCGAGGCCTCAGTCGACTCATCGGTCTCCACCTAAAGCTCATTGGCTCCAGCGACAACACTCCAGTCCGAAGCACATTGGCCTCAAACTCAGCCCTGCACACAAGCACAGGGACGCGACAATCCCTACACCTCCAATCCCTACGCCGAACAGCCCTACATCGCACGACTTCACTCAGCTCCCACGCTCAGCAGCTACTCGCATTCACACTCAGCCACGGCAATCCCCCGACATCCAGCCAGCCACTCTTAGGCGCAGGGCCCTCCCAGAGTGCCCGAGAGGCTCCGAAGGCAGCAGAAGCTGGGGAGCAGTGTCAGGATATCGGCACGAGCAGCACCTCGCCCCTTTCCCACGCTCATCTGGAGACGCAGCTGCATACAGCAGGAGCCTTTCTCGCCTCTCATGCCTCCAACTGATCAGCCACGTACGCGGACAATCTTCAGGTTGCAGCATCTCTTGCCTTATCCACCTTGCCCACCTGGCAGCACTTCAGACGAAAGCAGGCCCCAACATTCACCGCAGATCGGCCCCCAGCATCCCTTTGTCGTATTCGTGCAGGCATAGAAGCAGCAGTAGGCTGGGCTTCCTTGCAGTCGTCACAGCAGTAGGCCACACCTCTTTGCAGTCCTCATGGCTTAGCACTGGCCGTGCCGGGATAGCATCACCACAACCGCCAAAGTGCAGGAGGAGCGGCAGCGTTGTTTTCATACTTCTGCAGACAGGTTCTTCCCTTCTTGTATCCACAGGCAGTATCACTTCCCAGTCTTCGCCAGTGCTGCTGCTCGCGCAGACCGAGGGGAAGCCATGGCCGCACAAGAGTTCTACACGTGTGCCACGGGGGTGCCTGTTTTACGACAGGGATACACCTGTCAGCAGAAACACGGGGCCTTCAGGGGTTCGCTCTGCCAAGCGATAGACCCGCGTGCTGAGGCTCCTCTTGGGGTCCGGGTTTCCGGTTCCAAGGCAGAAATGCAGGAATAGACCTGCAGTCAGTCATCTCATCGCCCATCCAGACATCATCACCCATCGACTAGCAAACAATGGACACACACAGGTTACTCACCGTATAAGACTGGTGAGAGACGCGGCAAACTAAGGCCGGGGCAGTTGCAGAAAGGTGCAGCAGTGCAGAAGCAGCAACAAAACACTGCAAGGCAGGGCAAGGGCATTTCAAACCTTTCAGGCACAAGGCCATGGCAAAAGACAGTACACAGCAAGGCAAGGGCAGTACGGGCAGCAAGGCAAGGACAAAAGCAAACAACAAGGCAGTGCAAGGCAGCTCAAAAAAGAACAGTTCAAAGGCAAGGCGAGTCAGTGCAAAATCTTCTCAGCACCTGTCAAGGGGGCACAGGTGCTCCTGCTCATCTCCGCAACGTGGACATGTTCGTTACCGTGCATGCAATCTGGTCTAAGGTCCGAGCCACCTGGGTTCCCAAATGCAGGATCCTACTGCACACCGCTGCAGCCATCCTATGTGGAGTTATTGCACATGCCGGCACACTACAGAAAAATACTTCCGCTGCGGACTCCTGCGCCAAGGCAAACTTTTACCACTACGGGGTACAGCATTTCAGGCTCAGCAGGCAAGGCAGTCAGTGCAAAAAACAGTTCAGGCTATGGTACAGTATGCTACATGGCACTATGGTACATGCAAGGGCAAGGCAAGGCAGCAAAAAACAGTTCGTGGCAGGCACAAGCCCGCAAACTGAGGCCGATCCGCCCCTAGTGCACTGCAGTGTCCTATGTCCTAGGATTCAGGGCAGCTGCCACAGACTCGGGGACGAGGAAGGACTCCCCGTTGACCAGCAGATTCACCAGCTTAACACCGCACTGCTGTTGATTTGTGCCAGCACCGGCAGCCATTGGCCCCGATTGGGCTGGCCCCATAACATTGCCTGTCGTCGACGAGGAGGCCGAGGGGCTCCACATCACCGTCTGCGGGATCTGCATTTGTTGCAGGGGCACCCCCAGCTGCTGCACTTGCTGGGGCATAGCCTGCATTCCAGCCGCCTTTGCCATGGACTGTGTCTGGGCCCATTGGCCCGGCGGGGCAGAGGGCGGCGGTGGATCGGCCGCCTGCGTGACATCTGGTGCAGGGAAGGGGGGCGGAGGCGCTTTGGACGAAGCTGCGCCGTGCCCTGCAGGTGCTTGGCCATGATATCGCACCGTTTCGAGATGCTATCGACCGAGGCGTCCAGCGTGGCCACAGCCTCGGCCAAGCTGTCCATGGAGGCCACAACCCTGCTCATGGCAACCTCCATCTTCTCCATGGCCTCCTGCGTCTCCTTGAGCTGGCAAAGGCACTTGAGCGTGCCAGGGCTATCGGCCGCGGTGGCTGTGTCCAGCCGCCTCGATATGCCCATGATCCTGTTGACCACGTCCTTGAAGAGGCCAGCAAGGGAGTTGGTCAGCTCGACGTGTTTGTCCTCCACCAGCTGATGCACTGCCTGCACCTGCTTGCTTGAGTCCCAGGCGCTATTCTCCTGGTGCCGGATGAGCTGCAGGTAGTGCTCATCCAACGACAGCAAGAGGTTTCTTACAGTCCTCGCTGCCGGGCCATCCTTCACGACGGGGTAGAGCTGTTCCGACAAGCCATTGGGTGTCGGCAAGAGCTTGTCTCTCAGAGGGCCAAAGAATCTCTCCAGCCCGGTCTTGAGCGCTCCATGGAACACCTCCGTGATGATCACCTGCGGAGCCACATCAGAGCGCGGCTGTGCAGGCGCTTTCTGCCCCGCGGACGTCTTGTCATCCGCAGGGGATGCTGGGGCCACCGCCGGCGCGGAGACCGTCTTCTTCGAGTCCGCCGGCTCCTTGGCGACCTCATCAGGCCTCTCCTCCTTTGACACCGCATCTGGCTCAACAGTCTTCTTGCTGTCCCTGTCTTGGGCAGCAACTGGCTGCTTGTCTTCCGTTGGCGGCTCATACGGCGGTGCAGCAGGAGGCGGAAGAGGAGGCTCGTCTCGAGACTCCGGCGGCGATGGACCCGGAGATTGTGTGAGGGGTCTCTGGGACCTGCGCTTCTTACTCCCGCAGCCATGCCACAGGAGCAGGAGGGCAAGCAGGAACCAGGGCAAAATCCTGGGCAGATAAGGAGTCATCTCGACGACAACCTTGTCCACCCATTGTGCATGAGTTGACAACATCTCCGTCTCGTCCTCCGTAGTTATCCCCGAGGCCAGAGGCTTGTCCGCAATGCTCCGGGGTTGCTTTAACGGAGCCCCGCTGTCCATGGCGGAAGCAAGGGGACAGTGGCTGGAGTTTGAGGGGCGAGACGCTCTCACACAACGTGCAGCGTCCATGCGATTTCAAAGTGCACAACCGTTCCTGAAAAAATTCTAACACCCTCAGCAGGAGCCTGTTTCACTACTCACAGTGCGGTGCAAGGACAGTGCAGCAAGGTGCCAATTGAGGCAGTGCGCTCACAAGACATCATTGCCAAGGTGGCGGCGGGGGTCGTGGTGCCCTCGTGCTTTGGATTCCTAGGGCACGGGCTATCTCATCGATAACCTGACGGACATCTCCAAGTTCCTCAGAAAAATATACGACACCTTCGCAGTCAGGGATTGCACCAATTGCTCGGGGCTCTGCGCGCTCCCTGTCTGCGGTTGCTTCCAGGACTGCACAGTTTTGTTGAGTGCATGGATCCTACTCTCAAGGGCATGGAATGTACCAATAACAGCTTGGGTATGTTCCTCATAGAGATTGTGTTCTCTATCAGTCATGGCATCAAAAGACTCTCTAATAACTTCAAGATGATTTGCCATCTCCCTGAGAGTTTCTGGGAATTGCACATGCAACGGTTGAGTGTTCCGCTTCAGCAACGCCAAAACCACAAGTAGCTCGTGGTGCTGTTCCATAATGAGTCCCAGACGGTCGTTGAGGATCTTCCGGTTGGCTCGCCACTCCTTCTTTGTAGCTGCCAACAGATCCTGAGTGGCTGCCTGCAGGAAGCTGGAGGGTTCCAGCAGCACCCCGTTGTCGATGGGTGCCTGCGGTCTCTCCAGCAGGCCTCGCACCTCCTGAAATTGTCTGAGAGTCTCCGTTACTTCCAAAAGGCCTTGGTCCAACCTGCGTAGCCAAGCGACAAATCTACCTGCCACAGTTGCCAAGGCAACTAAGCAGAAAAGTGTCCAGGGCATCACGGTCGTTTCTGGGAGCCATGCAAGCCCCTCCTCAAGAAGAAGCATTAGCCACACCATGTCGGGCCCTGGCCAGGCAACCTAACTGAGGCTGAGGGCACACTGCGGAAGAACCACAATTGACTCGCTCATCTGGGTGCTGGGGTCTACTCATGCAGACCCTCGATCTGTGCTGGCCGGAAGAGTCTCCACGGGGGTAACGAGGCACCTAGGGCTCCCCAACAGAGTGCTTCTGCCGTGCAATCCAATCGTACACTCCATTCCCACAGCTGAAAATCCACATAGTTTCTATCAGCAGCGGAAAGCGGCTCAAGGTCAGCGAAAGTTACAAAGTCGCGCAAGACCTCCTTGAGTGCCCCCATGTAGGTTCTGAGGCGGGGGGCCTGTTGGATCCATGGCCACCACGAAGCAGTGTTTCCTAGGATCTCAAGCAGGAAAGCCTTGGCAGCATGGCCAGCGAGATCCTCAAACACTTTGGGCACGACACCAGACAAGAGTCTGACCCCGAGTC